AACTGGTTGGACCACCTCAAAAATGTGTCACGGGTGGACATGAGTTCCCTTTTTCATGCATAAAAGCTCATAGTGATGAATGCATAAGGTAATGCTTAGTAGAATGAAAACATCACAGTTGTCTAGCAAACTGATACAGTTGTACCATACACGAAAGATTGAACTGTAAGTCTGTGTTAAACATCTTGAGTGTGCATATAGGATCAACGATTACAGCTAAAAATGTACAAGAAAACATAGGTGAAATAAGTGCAGAGCAAACTTCATGACAAATCAGCACATCTTATGTGCCCAAATTAAGGATCCATATTTGGCATTTTTGATGCTAACAGTCCCTCTGTAAAAGCCATATTCTTCTGTCTTCAGAAATGCATCCTAATGTGGAGGACACTCATCCTGCTTTTTGGACTTAAGAAGTCTTCCCTGACTTGTGCACTAAACCTGAACACTAAACCTAAATGTAAATTTACCCATTTCTAACCTGTAGATTTTTGCAGGATGTAGTCAGCTGATTAATCATGTCCATTACTAATGCTGTATGACAAATATTTATGTGCATTATACTACTATCTATATGGTATCTGTTTGACTCTCTTTTAAGTCCCAGGGGAACTCTTCTTTTTTAGGGTGAACAAGATCATCTGATTCCCTCCACCTCCAATTACCTTTTGGAGAGTGACTTAGTTGTTGTCGCTGGCCGAATGATTGGTCATTCATTTTTACACAATGGGCCATGCCTGGGTGGATTGAGCCCGGCAATCCTGCATGTGCTTTGTGGTGGATTCCCAGAAGAAACCACAATAGACATTAAGGATTGTGCTGACCTTGACATCCGTGAGACTATCAAATTGGTATGATCCATTTTTTAAGTAGATCTTATTGATAATATGCAGTGCTAGGATAATAAAAAATTATTACTGTATGTTTGGGGGTAAAATTGATCATCCTTTGAATAAATATGGTTTTAGCAGGTTACTGATTGAGAGGCCTGGCTTGTGATCACAAGTAAAATGAAACTAAAATGTTATTTTCAATTCATTTTAAGACCAGTCAGTGGTGTTAAGTGTATGATTGATAAGAGGTCTAATCCAAAGTATCTGCATCAAATTTGAATATGTATGTATGTATGAAAGAGTAAGTCTTGAGACATCAAGAATTAATTCAAATGTAGATTATTAGCTGGATGGTACCACAGAATTATCATCTGAAGAAAAGATGATGATCACTGAGCTGGCTCCGCCCTGGGATTTGCCTCCAGTCACATCACAGAACAGAAGATGGCTGCTTGAGAAACTGCTGCTCCATGCTGTGAGTATTCTAGACCTAACAGGTCCAGTATGGTCATGTCAACCTGACTAATCAGAGTTGAAGTTTGGATGTAGAACTAGATTTTGGAAAAGGATTAAGCATCTGTTTGTCGGTATCAAGAACTCTTGATTCATTAATACGTGTTTTGGTTCTTAACTGTTGCATGTTTCAATTGTGCTCCCAAGGGAACTGCAACAACTATAAATTTAGGTAAAATGCTTTTAAATATTTAAACATTTGTTTTTATTCTATGAATTGCAAATGATTGTATTGTAACATTTTTTATATTTACATAGGAATGCAGTGTCATGTGGTCTCTGTGGCGCAATCGGTTAGCGCGTTCGGCTGTTAACCGAAAGGTTGGTGGTTCGAGCCCACCCAGGGACGACGGTTTTTTCTATTTTTTTATTTATTTAAGAGAACTGAGTACAAATTAAAAGTGCATCAAGCATATTTGCCCTTCATAACATAGTTTTAAAAAAGAAAAGAAAAAGCTATACTTGCTGCTGACTTGGTGAAGAGTTGTTTGGTGGGATGAAGCTAAAACCGTTTGCATGTAACCACAAAAGTAGAAAACGTAAGCGCCCAACGTGGGGCTCGAACCCACGACCCTGAGATTAAGAGTCTCATGCTCTACCGACTGAGCTAGCCGGGCACATGTTAGCATGGGAGGGGGCAGGTTTTTAATGCATAATTGAGGCTATAATAATAATACTACTAGTGTCTTGTTGTCCCTGGTATTGTTAATTGACTGTAAACTGTGTGACCAATATGAGTGGTTTAGTTTAACATCTTGTTGAGAACTACTGGTTTAAAAGTGTGCTACAAAAGTAGAAAGTATAAATTTAAAGTGACAAACCCCACTGGACATGGAGGGAACGAAAAATGACTTAATTAGAAATAAATGACTACATTAATGCATAAAAAATACAGAAATAAATAAGTAAAATAATAAATAATTAAATAAATGCATAATTAAAAGAAAAAATACATAATTTTATGCTAAAATAAATATTTAAAAAAAAAATTAAATGCATAAATATATAATTAAATGCATTTTTAAATTGTTATATGTCTACATTTCTACAAAGGTAATTTTCTTTTATTTATTTCTGCATTTCTACAATTATTTATTTCTGTATTTCTGTATCTGTATGCTAATGAGGTGGGTGGCTCTAATCCCACCCTAATGCAGGATTGGCTGCAGAAGTTTGATCAATTAAGT